TTTTTGTGTTGGACCAAAAGTTTTAACTTCAAACAAGATTTTTATTGTTTGCACATATTTGCAAATAAATATAATTAACACAATGAAATGGGGTCGTGTGGTGCAGCGGCAGAGTGCGCGACTCGGAACTTAGAGGTCCCGGGTTCGAGTCCTGACATGCCACCGATCTTGTGCCCTTGGGAAAGGCACTTTACACGACTTTCCTCACTTCGCTCAGGTGAACATGAGTATTATCCTGTCATGTATTTGTCCCCTGTGCTGGTGGCGGTATTAATATAAGTTGAAAAAACTTTGAGTGTGCCGTCACCACGTCTGGTGATTACATGTTGGAATAAAAATAAAAATTAAAAAAAAAATAATAAAAAAAGTGGAGGGGAGGTCTAGAACCTATGTGTTGAACTTCCCTAACCGTGTGATATTGTTACATTATGTATGATTAACATAAACCAATAAAACAAGAAATCATAAAGAAAGTCAACAATGTTGACGCGACAGTTTGAGAGTAGTTACCTAAAGCGTCGGTCACAACCCGCCGTACGTGCTTCTGCGTGCTGTCTATGTGCAAAAACGTGGGCAAACGCAGGGCATCCGTGCGTGGTGAGTACCGCCTCCGTACGGAATCCTACGGATTTGGGAGCACGCAGACACGCCGTAGAACTTTAAGTGCATGTGAAACTTTTTCTACGTGCGGTCTGCGGATTCACCACCCGTGCGTGCGAGTACGGACGACGCGCGTGCCCCGTACGTGCCGTGCGGAAGAAGCACGTGTGAGTACGGCCACCTTACGGTAAAGTTGCAATCGCACGGAGATCGTACGTTGTAAGCACGCACGACTCAATTACCACTTGCGCAACGTACGATGCACGCAACCACTCACGGCCAGACTTGGCGTGCAGACCACACTCTTACACTTTGCGCAACCGTGCGAGTGACGTGCGTAGACGCCACTCCTTCCCCGCGTTTAAAAAACGTAGCAGACGTAGCCTCCCCAAAAACCTCACGGCGGGTTGTGACCAGGGCTTAACATTGGTTGGTATTTTTTGGAATGGATTAGCCTTTAGAAGCGTTATCGTTACTTCTCTTTTTCAACCCTGATCGTGTAAGACCGTCTACAGCGCTGATACATAATTAGAAGTCTCACGTGCACTAAGACGTTCACTAAAAATAAAACGACTTTTCGTTAATTCAAAGACAAAAGACAAGAAAAGCAATTCTAAACGGAAGCCACGTGGCTCTAGATGTCTTACGTAATCTCCTAGCAATTTCGGTAGCCACAAAGACAGTTTCAAGTTGGCCAGGCTGCATCCATTTGCCAGACAGTTACTATTCTTTGCGGCCACCGAAAGATCTGCTTAATGGGGTCGTGTGGCGCAGTGGCAGCGTTCTCGACTCGGAACCAGAGGCCCCGGGTTCGAGTCCTGTCATGCCACCGATCTTGTGCCTTTGGGAAAGGCACTTTACGCGACTTTCCTCACTTCGCTCAGGTGTAAATGAGTATTGTATTGTCCCGTGTTGGTTTCGGCATTATATAAGTTGAAAAAAACTTGAGTGTGTCGTCACCACGTCTTGTGATTACATGTTTCGGAATATTAAAAAAAGATCTGCTTAAACGTACAAGCTCACGTTTCAGCTGAGAAATAATTCCATCTTCCCATACAAATATGTTGCATTATTAGTTAGCACTGGTTAGTGGGGTTTTAACTCATAGTTAGTAGATCTAGCGAATAGATGATATAACAAGTACAAGTTAACTAATTCAGTGAACACAATTCACTGGCAAGATGTACAATTTGCAAGAGAAAATTAACCATAACCATGACCAGTTCGTGATTATAAACTTGCTTTTCTGAGAATTCTCTAGTGCTACTGACGAAAAGTAGTGGATGCTACCTAAAATGTCTGACCATTTCCCAAATCATATCCAGTTGCTTGAGTAACTGTTTTTTGGCGTAACTATACTAGACTTCGCCAGAATACAGAATAATGATAGGAGAATACGAGGTAGTAGAGCTTAGTGTGACGTCATTGTTTGTTTGTTTGTTTGTTTGTTTATTCGCATATAATCAGAGAGAAAAACAATAAAATGAACATATTACAGTAAAATAGGATATGCAGGGGAAAGATAAGAAGCCATAACGGCTTGTCCGTGATCTTCCCCCGACTGAATTAATTGACAACTGTAATAATGGTAACAAATCAAATGGTAATAATAAATAACAATAACTAATTGAAAAATTCGATCAATATGATAACGGTAACAAATCAAATAGTAACAATAAATAACAAAATTATTTGGTAAATAACCTTAATTAGAAATGGCATGTTAAAAAAAAGTTAACAGAGGTTTAACTGAAGTACAAACATAAACAAAAAAAATTGAAGCAATAACTCCAGAATATATAAATGAATTTTAAATTTAAATCTTATATAACATGTAACGGAAAATTTGATGGGCCTAGAAGATGGAGGCAGTGTTCTGTGACAGCCTAATCTGTTGGGTAATATCCGCGGGAAGCTAGATGTCTCTCCTGACGGCCTGGGTTGATCCCATCGGGCCTGCCGAGCGGAGGAGAACGGAGAGTTCACCTTGAGTAGAGGGAGGAGACGTGAGGAGATTTAGCAACTTTCCATCCTGTTACACCAAAAAACAGTTACTCAAGCAACTGGATATGACTTAGGAAACGGTCAGACGTTTCAGCTAGAATCCACTAGCTTTCGTCAGTGATTGAGAGACCAGAGGGGAAATGCGGGTTTATAAGCACAAACTAATGATAGATATGCAAATAAAGTGATTTGCATAATTTTTTGGAAGTCGAAAAGGGAAGAAAAGTCAAGACAAGGTAATGCCAATTAGTCAGAAAGCTCCTATCAATCAATAGTTTGTGCTTATAAACCTGGTAATAAAAATGATAATACTTGTAACAAAAAATTCTAATAACAACATCTGTAACAAAGAATAACAATAAAATAATAAAGTAATGCAAAATAAGAAAGTAATGTATGATAATAAAGTGACACATATCAATGGTAACATTTCGACCAAAAACAATAATTGGAACAGTAATTGAAAGAATAATTGAAACGATAGTGGAAACAATAATTGACACACTACCATTAGTAATGACCAATAATAATAACATTTTGAAAAAGATACGCAGAATGAATAAAGTATAACAGTTTGTAAGTAAAGAGAGACGTCATATTAAATACTTTTTAATACAATAAGAAAAAATAAGACTTGGATAAAATCAATGAATGAATGAAAAAAATTAATTAATTGTATGTTATAATCTAACAATCTATTTGTAAGGACAGGTCATAAACAGGAAAAACAGTAATGTCTTATTTTGACTATACATACTAATGTGATCTACTATTTACATCGCAATTGTAGATGTATGAAGCTAATCATACAGGGTTTATCAATTTTCAGAAGAATTACGTTTTTGTCTGTATTATCTAAAACCTTAGAGCTGGGGAATATTTCCTTTAAAACTATAGATGGAATCTCTCTTATTTCTATATAATGTAAAATCTTGAGACTACAAAACTGCACTTATTCTATATGCTACAGAAATATTTCATTTGTAGTAAATTTAGAACTTTCTTTACACTGATATTCTCGCGACACTATGTGTTTCTAGGCACCAAACACACACACACACACAAACCACACATACACACCACACACACAAACGCATACACCACACACACATACACACACAAGCACACACATACACAAACGCACAAACACACACACAAACATACACACACAAACACACATACACACACACACAAACACATACACACACAAACACACACATACACAAACAAACACACACAAACACACACACAAACACACACACACAAACACACGCGCACACACATTCACAAACACACACACACACACATTCACAAACTTACACCACACACACACACACACACAAACACACAAACAAACACACACACACACACAAACACACACATACACACACACAGACACACACAAACGCACATACACACACACACACACACACATTCACAAACTTACACCACACACACACACACACACAAACACACAAACAAACACACACACACACACAAACACACACATACACACACACAGACACACACAAACGCACATACACACACACACGTACACAAAGTTTCATTCATTCATTCATTCATTCATTCATACACATATACACACAAACACACACACACACAAACACACACACACACACGCAAACACACACACATCACATACGCGGTTTCTTTCGTGATAGCCTAAAATACTGCATGAATAAACATAACACATACATGCATGGTCTGGTGTTGAAACAACTTGTGAATACTTTGTGTGTACATTTTCCCCTCACCAGTCAAACCTACCTGACGAATGCGACCAGCGGTCAGCGGTTCCATGGTGACGTATGGTCAGCACAAAGGTCATACCAGACATCTGCTGAGTACCACTTGACCTCTGACCTTCACATACGTCATCGCCATGACCCATGACCCGTGTCTGAGAACAACCAATCAAATCTATCGATTTGGCCTACTTGTGCTGATTGGGCAACAATTCTCTATCATTTGAATAAGATAAAAATTTTTTGTGTTGCCATGGCAACGGGTTTCTGGCAGGCATTTTTTGCTAAATTTAGTACTTC